GGTTGGAAGATTAAATGCATTGCTGCAATATGGGCATCGGAAATGGTTTTGAAAACGCTTTATTTTTAGCAACCTCCCAGGGTGGTCACCGGTTAAAAATATCAGATTCCACTTTAATTCAGGGAATTAGATAATTCAAATATGTATCACAGTAAAAGTAAGAAAATGTAATAAAACTACATTTTTGTAATAATTACAGTAATATAACAGTCTTATTTATTGTTAAATGCATGTTGTAAGTATTAACTTGGAGTAAATTAGGGTCCACAATTACTGAAACGTCGGAGTTTTCGTATTTTAAACGTATTGCTTTTCTATGCCAAGATAATTAAGTGCACCGAGTTTGGTATAAATTTATACAAATTGACAGCATCGCGACAATTGTGCACCCTACGTCGAATTTGTCCAAAAGCAAGTCAGACGCATTCTAAGCTAACCTGTTGAAGGATTACATAGAGATCACACTACGTGATGCTGCACCAAATGTCGATAGTGAAACAACCGTACACCACATTGTCACCAATGGTCCCCCAGTCCACGAGCGCCCACGCAAACTCACTGGTGAGAAGTTAAACGCCGCAAAAGAAGATTTTAATCTGTTGCTGCATCATGGTGTCATAACACGCAATCAATGGACAAGTCCCATCCACATGATGCCCAAAGAGTCCGGTGGCTGGCGTACTGCAGGAGACTTTCGCTTAAAAATCAACATAAAAAAATTCCATATCGGTGGAAGTGAAGTAGTCTACTTAGGCTATTCTGTGAGCCAGCATTGTTACCAGCCTCCTGAGGAAAAAGTTATCCAAAGCCTCAAACAGTTGTTGACTCGCGCCGGTTCCTCGGTATTGTAAATTATTATAGGCGTATTTTGCCTCACGCAGCAGTAATTCAAGCTTCCCTCAGTGAGTGCCTGAAAACAGCGCCCATCTCGCTGTAAATCCTTTGGAGAATACACAAAGCCCACGTTTTTTGTAGAATTAAAGTTTAAAATTTGTTATTTAATTTTCCGTTGTCAACGAATAAGAATAAATTAAATGTCAAATAATTGTTCAGTGATTGCAAATCAGTTTTAGAATAGGCTCATTCCCTACTTTTAGTTTTAGTTTAGTACTTTTTTTAAGGCGGTAAAATGTAGTTTTTTCAAGAGGGAAACATCGATTTTGCTAAGGGAGTCAAGATGGCGGATTAGAGCGAGAACGCTGTCAATATCCAACACCTTGTATTATTCCACCATGCATCAACTGTATGAAAAAATGAAAGGGAGAAGTATACATACCTTCTATAATTTTGACTTATATGTATATTTGGCAAGTCTTTTTGTAAACAACAAAAAATACACATTTTCATTTCTTTGCAAGCTTGGAAAATATAGGCTTATTTTTACTTAAATGTGATATAAAGCTCTTTAAAATGCTGTGTAATGTCTTGTTATCATAGTGCTTTGTATTTTTATTGTCCACCTAGTACAAAGATTTTTTGTTGTTTTGAAATTGTTTGTTTATTGTTTTTAATTTTTAAAATTCCTACATTTGACATGTATGTAAATGGCGGAGTTGCCGCTTTCCTCCTTTTAGGTGGGTTTTATATTAAAAAAGGCATCAGAATGGGAAAAACCTCCTTGGTATCTCTGCATCTGTTAAACTTTTTATGGGGAGATGTATGAAAATCCAACTTGCTATAATTTCATATGCTTAACAGTATCACAACAGTATGTTTACAGTATCTCCCCATAATTTTTCATATGAAAAAATCTATTATATGCATCCCACTCGATATCATTGAATTCCTCATAAGAACATGTAGTCCCTCTATTTTAGCGTATCAACAGTTCATATGGCTTCATACCATGTAAATGCACCATTAATTTCAAATTGAAAAAAAAAATAAACACTTTGAAAATAATTTATAATCGCACACGGCACAGTGGTCTTGAAGCAACCATAGCTATGACTAAAATGCCAACCAAAACGGCTTACATAACTGTCTTTGTACATAATCATAGATCAAAACTTCGTTGAAAATAAAATTCCATCTGCTCCTATGCTTAAAATATTATAAAATGTTGATCTAGAACTTTCCAAATCCAGTTATATAATCGCGAAGGTCTATGGTAATATAATTATAACACTTTCTTATATAAGCATAAAATATTTTAACTTAGTTATTCAAGAGATAATATTACATAATTGCATATTTTAATAATTCTTATTGCATAAATTTTATAAATTTACAAAGTCAATATAAAATATTATTTTATATAAATTCATATGTGTTTTGATGAAAATTCAACGACAGTTTTTTTTTTAATTGATTATATATTTAGGGTCGTCAATCGAATTAACTTTATAATTGAGCCAAAATCTTCAAAATACGCCATGAATGGATTCTCCAGCTTGCTCCGACCACATTCCGAAGCTGTCGTTGCCTAAAAAATGCAGACAATGTTCCAAATGATTTAGAAGCACGTGAATTTTTAATGTTTCCGACATTTCTGTGCTTCGGAAGGCTTTAGCGAGTTTACTTACATGATTTTTTAATTCTGACCCAACTGACAAAGCAGTCAACCCATTGGTGGAGTTTTTTTCACTCAATACATTTAAGGTATGTGCTCTCCCTTGTATAACTTTTGGATGGCTGGTTGCCCGAGCAGTGAGCCAGATATAACAAGAGCATGAAGTTGTTCTTGTTTCTTTTGTCGAATCTTCATAGTTAGGCATGTTTGGAAGAGGCCGCGTTGCATTTGGTATATCCTTATCTCGGTCACAGAGAACCCTACGACATGTACCACAAATGCCTAATGGGAACTTCGAATTGGTCAATCTAAAATTTTCACTAACGTATTTTTTAATAAGACACTCCAATTTTCCGGTTATATTAAATTCTGAAGGTTTTGACGATCCGAATTTAATCTTTCTCCCACAAGGCGCGCACACTTTAAATCTGTTCTCTTCGTGATTACACTTATGTTGCGGATGACTTATAGAAGACATGATGTCCAATCAAATAGCTTACACCAGAAATATTATCATCGAGAAAAATACTATCTGTTTTTTTTTACACTAATATACAAAACGATAACTTTAGAATACTCTGTTGAACAAGAAATACTAACAATTGCAGTTAAATTTTTTCCAAATTTTCATTTGACAATATTTTAGGCATAGGAGCAGATATGATTTTAATTCCAACTGCATAATGGTGTATGGGTGCCTTCCAAAACAGGTATGCAAGCAGTTTTGGTTGGCATTTTAGTCATACCTATCATTGTTTCAAGACCACTGTGACGGAAGAACCGAAATGATTGAAAATTCATGATACTTTTTTCTTTCGTCTGTCGATTTTAGAACTGGTTCGGAACTATAGAATTTAGAACCCGTTCGGAACTATCGAAAAAGGGATGCACCGGGGGGTAATTGACACTTCCTAGAATATCGCCATGTTAAATTCGCCAGTTGTTTGCATGCAAAAGAGATTTATCGCGAACCAGTACTGGGTCTAAATGTACTATAGGCGCACCAGTTCAGAACTAGAGATTTTCTCCACAGGGTAAACATGCACACAACTCATACAAAAAACGGCACTCACGTACACAACACATTCGCAAAAACGGTACTAGACTGACTCGCTTTGATTTTACACATTGAGAAGTTAGCTTACTGCCAATATAGAAGTATTACATACATATAAGGTTTAGGTACATCGGGCGGAGCCGAACTTTAAATACCCGGCGCAAGTATTAAATATATGTTTTTCACCTTTCCGAAAGTTACCTCTACATGGTAAGCCAGGGTGTATCAATTTTGAGTAAATTACCGTCCTTAAATTTCGAAATATTGAAGTTTCAAGCATTTCTGAAATTTACCGTTATATGAAAAGCGCTCTTAATTTTAGTCCGATTTCAATAATTTTCAAAGTTTTGCTTTCTTGTGGCAAGCACAATAACCATACCGAGTTTGGTACAAATTGGTAGAACGGTTACCGAGTTACATATATGTGATCCTAAGTGGGCGGTGCCATGCCCATTTTCCAAAATTTTACCATGAACGTTTTTCTTGACAAATAATTGTTGCATGCATCAATTTTGAATAAATTAGCTTTAATATTTACTGATTTATCGAAGATTTCGTATTTATCTAAATTACCATTATATGGGATATTGGCGTGATTATTGTCCGATTTTAAAAATTTTCGTCGTTTTGGTATGCTGTACCAAAGCCAACAACTGTCCAAAGTTTGAAAGAAAATGTGTAGCGGTTACCAAGATATACACATGTAACCATAAGTGGGCGTGGCTACGCCCATTTTCCAAAAATTTATAATATTCTTATTTTTCGTCTAAAACTTATTGTAAATATCAATTTTGAGCGAATAATCTTCAGTAGTTAGTAAAATATCGCAGTTTTCGTATTTCTGGAAATTACCGTTATATGGGAGGTAGGCGTGGTTATTGTCCGATTTTGCTCATTTTCACTACCATCCGTTCTACGCCCGAAAGAAGTGCACGTACCAAGTTTCGTTAAGATATCTCAATTTTTTACTCGAGTTATCGTGTGCACAGACGGACGGACGGACGGACAGACAGTCACCGCTTAATCGATTTCTCTTTTCATTCTGATCAGTTATGTATACATTTGGCTTTATCTATCATTATTACCTTTTCAAAAGCGAAATAAAGTCAACAAATATTTGGAAATAAAGTCATTGACGCTATTTCCTCATTCAAATAGAAATAGCGCCAACAATGCTTACATACGTAGGGAATATCTTTTTTATTCATACGAATCGTTGCAAAAGTTCTGTTTTTTGTTTTGTGTTTCTAGCAGTAAACGGAATTTCGCAACGTTCCGAATAAATAAAAAAAAGATTTTCCGTACGTTTCAAAT